ATAAATTTCCTTTTTTTATTAAATATTATTTTTTTAAATTTAAAATATAATTATTCTTAATAACATTTTAATACATTATAATTATATATATATATATTATAATTACATATTTTATATTAATTTATATTATATATATATATATTATAATTGTATATTATAATTTAGTTTAAAATAATATGGTGAGAAATAACTGATGAATTCATTTTGTTGTTGTTTTAATTTTAAATTCAATTACTTTCACACATAATTATGAGCACAAATGTATGTTTTATTACTTTAGTATAATTTTCACATGAGCTTAAAGAAAAAGATCATTTTAAGAATTAAGGTTTTAAACGTCTAATTGACAGTTTGATAAAAAAAAAACTATTTGTAAAAAGATCTAGAGCAATGATATGGAAAGGAAAGAGTGTTACTCGAGAAGGTAAACCAATGGTTTATCGCGAACGATCGATTTTACAGTAATACTACTCGACTTCTCACAATTTGCCAGAGTCTTTTTTCCCTCCTTATACTGTCCCTTTTTTTTCCCTTTCTTTTCTCACGTCAATCTCGTTCGCATGTTGCCTCACAGATTGGATTTTTTTTTCTTTAATATTTGCTCCGTTTGCTTTGCAAGAATCTCTTTTTGCCATTCCTTTTATTCGATTGCGTGTGACTAATATCACATAAGAAAAAAAAAGGATTTTATCTTATATTTTAATTTAATAATATATTTATAAGCTAATTGTCACATTAAAGTAAAATATTAGTTAAAAAATAAAATATTAGTTATATTAGTCAAATATTATTAATATTATTCTATCTGGTATGCAAAAGTTAACGATAAATATTATCAATCGGTTTTTTGATTAAAATATTCATTGAAAAATTTGATATGTGTGTAGTTAACGACATTATTTTTCGGTCCCGCTAATAGTTATTATAGTAATATAACTATTTATAAGTTATATCATATTTAATTGTAGTAAATAAGTATTTATTTTATTTTATATTCTCTCTTTGAATAAATTACGTTAAATGAAAAAGAAAAACAAAAAAAAAACATGTGGGCAGATCACACAAGTTAGAAGTGAAACTTTTAATAAATCAAGTTTCGAGAGAATGAGACGAGTACATAGTTATCAAAAGTAGGATAATTTATTATAAAACATTATTAAAATATTATTTTGTACTTTTTTTTCTAATTATTTATTTAATAATTATAAAAATGCGCGCCTATAAGAATGCAACCCGCCAGACACACTTTGAAAATGTTGCTTGCGAGCGTCACCTGTTGGGACGGAATTTATTTTCTGCACGAAAGATAGGCAACCCGTAATACATGCGTGTATAAACAGTTTGGACTGAAAAAAAATTCCGTCCCAACAGATGTTGCTCGCAAGCAACATTTTGAAAGTGTGTATGGTGGGTTGCATACCTACAGGCGTAATATTTTCATATAAATATTCATACAAATTTCATTTTAATTTTGTAATTAGTTAATGCATATTTTTAGAATAATATTTAGTATCTTATATGAAAAGTAAATATTTAAAAATTGAAATTAATCAATTTTAAACATTTAATGATCGTCGTGAAAATAATAAAAGATTAGAAAGTTGCGCTGCATCGCTACAGTGTTTTATTTTATCAAATCAACCCCATTCTAAAGAAATTTTCATTTGAAAAATATAAATGTTTATTTTGATAGATAAAAATAAATCATAAAATGTATGTTGTTTCATTTGGGATGATGGTAGACGATACACGAAGAAAGAGATTTGTTTTGTCGGAGTGGATGAAATCTATTAAAGTTACATCATGTTTGCAAAATCTAAAAGCAGCAGTTCGTCGTCCCAATTTCAATTAACAAATCCAATAAGAAATTTCTGTGACATTGGCAAACAAACCGCTACTGCGGGACCAGAACATATTTGGCGTATCTACGATGCTTACCGTAAAGAGGATGGAAAGGTAATTTAATTAATTGTTTATTAAACTTCGAAAAAATATATTAAATCTTCAATGAAAACATGTACATATTGTTGTCAAAGTTAGAATTCTATCAAGATTAATCCTTATCGGTCATCAGATTTTTATATTGATGATTCTCACTAACAATAAGTTATAATTGGTTTAGTTATATAATATTAGTTATTTAAATATATATATATATGATAAATTATTAATTATTTTTTTAATTATATTATTTATATATTTATTATTTGATATATGTATTAATATAACTAATATAATTAAATATATATTATTTAATATTATATATTATATATATTTTATAGTATTATATAATAACATTAATATATTATTATATAACAAATATATAATTATAATAATACATATATGTATAAATAATATAATATAATAATAAATAAATTATATAATAATATAAAATAATATAATATAATATATTTTAAATATTATATAATATTTACATATAAAAAAATTATATAATATATATTATAATAAAATATATATATATATATATATATATTATATAATAATATATTATTTAATTATATTAATAACCCCACCTTCCACTTGACTTAGCACCAATAAGGGTTAATATCGTTATCGTGTTGAATTGAGATAAGTTAAAATACCTAAAATGATACTTTCTTAGTTATATTATTTCGCGTTAAATGATTGTTATCTTAATGCATATAGCTCGTAAACGAAGTTAAAATTATGCATACGATAGTACAAGTATTACAAGAGAACCTACATATATATACTATTTTCCCTTTTATCCGTATTACTTAGGATACTCAAAGAGAATTAAAGCGGAACCGCAAATATTTATGTATTAGTGTTACGTTCGTTCTTTAGAGCGAGAGTAGTCGTTTTCTCAATGGTCTCTTGGGTTGGAATAATAACGTGGGTTTAATAAAATCGATAAAAACATAGAGAGAGAGAGAGAGAGAGAGAGAGAGAGAGAGAGAGAGAAAGAAAGAGATAGAAAATAAAATAGAAAAAAAAAACAGAATGAAAGAAGAAAAAAGTTAGACCAAAAAAAAATCAACAAAAATCATCCAATTATAATTCTTCCTTCGTTGTTTCTTTTTCATCAAACGTGTGTCCTTATTATGCATACACCAACCATTACCTTGAAGTAGTAACTTGTCAAGGCATGATAAAGATAGACGACAACTTGATCTTAACTATCAAAATGGAACACGAACTCGTCAGACACTCGTTCTAGATTGTTCATCAAGTTTCAAAGTTTTTCTCTCTCTCTCTCTCTCTCTCTCTCTTTCTTTCTCTCTTTTTTTTCTTTTTTTTCTTTTTTTTCTTTTTTATCTTTCGTGTGATTCAATCAACTGGAAAAAAAAAATGCTATGATTTTTATTAGTCGTAGCATTTCGAAAAAAAACATTCGTTGAATTTCGATTTATTCACGCGTGAATAAAACGATTGATTATGTTAACAATTTCATTGAATTTAGTATAACACGATTTTCATTATTTTTCTTTCAAATTAACGAGAAATAGATCAAATTGTTTCTTAATCTCAATTTGTTTTATTTGTTGAAATATATCTTTAAAAAAAAAAAAAAAAAAGGAAAATATAATTTGATCAAAGTTGTGAAAATCGTGAAATTTGTTTTTCGAAATTACGAAACAAAATAAGAAGAAAATAATCATTCGTATATAGGAAGTTAGTAAAATTATTATATATATATATATATATATATTATATATAAATATATTAATATATAGAATATAATATTATAATATATATAAT